CCCTAAGGCTGTCTCTGACCGTGCAGTCAGGTGTCCGAAACCCCTTCTCCCCTATCACCAGAATCTAGCTTCTATTTATCTCATCTTGACCGATTCTGTCCCGCTATCCCCTTTTATGGACTTCAATTGTTACTAGATGATAGCGGTAACAAACTTTTACTTTCAAAATAAACGATGGCCACCTGTCGGCCATCTTGAATTCAAATCAATCCAAAATAGGTACAATGCACAACTAGAGACCAAGGGGAACCTGCATATGAAATTTGACAAAGATCCATCCAGTACTTTCCCAGAAATAGCGGTAACAAACTTTTACTTTCGAAATAAAAGATGGCCGTCTGTCGGCCATCTTGAATTTGAATCAGTTCACAAAAGGTACAAGGCATAACTAGGGACCAAGGGGAACCTGCATATGAAATTTAAGAAAGATCCATCCAGTATTTTCCCAGAAATAGCAGTAACAAGAATTGTTTACGGACGGACCATGGACGCAGGGCGATTTGAATACCCCACGAATTGATGATGGTGGGCTAAAAAGTTATATTCTATCAAGCATGGTTTAACAGAGGGATGACTATAGTGAATGACATGGTAAAAGATTCTGGCACTTTTTATACATCTCAAGAATTTAGTCAAACCTATAACATTACAAACTTTTGCCAATATCATATTTAGCCAAAAATGATTTCCATGTTGGCTCATTATCTCTTCCATCCATTCCTAATAATATTAAGTATTTCTTAAGAAACAAGAAAGGTACTAAAACTGTATACACTCACAGGTAGAAAAAAATGGGAAGAATTGTTAGAACTTAATAACCTGAATTGGGAAAATATCTATTTAAACTGTTTTAGAACATCTAAGAATACCAAACTGCAATGGTTTATGTACAGAAATTTGCATTTATATATATTTACTACTAATTCATTTATGTGTGAAGTGGGATTATTAAATAATCTACACTATTCGTTTTGTAACTTGGAAAGAGAGGCAGTTGTTCATATCATGTGGGAATGTCATGAAGTACAAAATTTTTTAGAAAGTTTTGAGTTTATGCTAGATGCACTTCTCATTCAATGAATTAAGTTTGATTTTTGGTTTCTCTGTGGATAATAAACATCATAATACTAGAAACAGACACCATGAGATCTTAATTATCATCAAATTTTATATATATAGAACCGGATGTCAACACAAAATGTTAAGTCTAAATGCCCTAATCGACTTTTTGAAAGAATTTCATACCTTTCAGAAATATATACCCAATAGTACAGAAGCGCAGGCAAAATTGTGTTTTGATAATGATTGGAGAAAATGGTTAAAGTTATTGGGGTTTACAGAGGTCCAACTATAATTACATAAACGTGTTAATGGAATGAGATATTGACTTTTTTATTCATTAATCATCAACTTGAGCCTGAAGTATTTTTCATTTTCCATTTTTTTTTTTTGCTGTGCTGTCATACATCTCTAACCCAGATCTCTCTCTCTCTGTGGGTGTGTATGTGGGTGAGTGTATATGTGTGTGGAAGGATGAATACCTAAATTTTACTGGAATTTTTAGGTTGCAAGGTGCACTTTCATCATCGCACAGAGTGCAGAAAGCAGCGGCAACATCCGAGGAGCAATCCCCAAAAACTACAACAAGTGAACAACAGTTGCCTATAGACAACCCATCCCGGCATATTCTACTTAGACACCACCCGTACCTTCTACAAAGCGTGTATCCAGTGAAAACAGTTGGTGACGGTAACTGCATGTACCGAGCGGTATCCACTGGACTAACTGGTACAGAGTCAAACCATAGCCTATTACTTCTGTTGACGACCATTGAAATAATGAAGAACAGACAGTTCTACGACACTTCTCAAAAGAAGTTTATAGAATTGTTGTCAACGATTACGACAATCTTGTGAGGGACTGTTCAACGTTTGGTGCATATAGTGACATGATGCATGTATATGCATTCAGTGCTGCAATTAAACAACCAATCCGGTCATACTATCCACCCCAACTCCTTGCAGAGTTTGTATCTTAACCATACACGGGAAAAGTTGTTGGCAGGGATGTGAATAAATCTGCACTTCCAGTAGTAACATTGATGTGGACCCAGATGATTGTGACACAAGATTTTGTCCCAAATCACTTTGTACCCCTCTTGGAGTGTGATCGTGCACAGCCAGTAGTTGTGTGCGACAGGCCTGACACTGATGTGAATGATAGAAATTTGATCTTGGATTGTAATGGATGTGAGAATGGCGATTCAAGTATGTCCGCTGAATGTGATGACTGCAAATGAGACGTATGTGATAGTGATGTCGGTGAGAGTGAAACTTGTATTGGTGAAGATTCTAGTAAGGGTATGGGTGATGTTGTAGATTCCAGTGGTGGTTCCTGTGACAACGCTCTAGTGGATGAGAATGTGAATGTTGAGGATGATCAACGTGAAAGAGTGGAAGATGCTCCTGCTACTGAATCCACAGTTCACAATATGGCAAAGGGAACTCTGAACACTTCGTTTCTAAATGTGTTCAATTTGATGAACTTGTTGCGAACTGAGACATTCACAGAGTCTCTAGATTCGATACCTCAAGGACTGAAGAACAATGTCAACTTTGTTAAAAAAATCATGAAAATTTGAATCAAAGAGCCAAAGGTAAAAGGAGTTCCTTCTCGGATGATTGTGGCATATGGAATGGCTCAGCTGGTGCTTCGCCAAAAACATACTATTTAAGGGATGAGTTGGGTGACCTGAAGAGTATCTGTCACAAAAAGGGTGTTGTGAGAGGAGAGAGAAAGGTAAAAAAGTGTTCAAGCCATTTGAACCCCAGCCTGATGAGAGTAGCCTAATAGAATTGTGCAGGTACTACACCTCACTGAAAAATGATCAAAAATATAAAAAGCAGGTGTCATGGTTGGGTATAGGTTGTGGCGACCAAATTGCTGTTGTTGAGTATTTAGGGCATTTTCCAGGTCCGTCCACAGAAATTCCAAAACTCCCAATGAATATGTCAGGACCCCAAACATTGTTATGCAGGAAATGTCCGATATGCTAAAATCCAACAAACCACAACAAGTATACACCAAGCTATCAGCCAAGTGGAGGAGTTATCAGGGCCAACTAGTAAATGCCAAGTTCGTGACAAAAAGTACCATGACAATTGTACACACATGAAAATGACAACCGGACGAACAACTAAACGACAAAATATAGTTGACCATATCAACGAACTTGACTTTCTGCTGTTAGACAAAACTTCTATCGTGAAGTCGATTATAAAGGACCAAGGAAAACCTCCTTGTATAATACTGTATACAGACGAACAACTTGACGACATAAAGACATTGTGTTGTTCAGGACAGAGCTTGTTGGGTGTTGATAAAACTTTCAACCTGTGCAACATGCACGTGATGGTGACATGTTATAAACAGAAGACGGTTATTCAACATGAGACTGGTGAAGCCCCCATTTTCATTGGACCAATTTTCATACACGACAATAGCGACTGTGACACTTATAGCAAATTTTGATATTTTGTTAGAAGCTCTATTTATCCCTTTCTCAGTAAACAAGCAAACTTTCATTTTTGGTCTCCTACATCAAAACTTCCTTCCGAGTAACAGAGTAGACAATGAGATTATAATTATTATTAAACAGTATATCTATAAAATGAGATGCTTACACCGTTCACTAAACTTGCATGCACTAATTAATACAATCAAAGATAATTACATGATACAAAAATATATAGCTAATGGTAAGGATGATAAAGTAAAACGTAAATTTGAGAATGAATGGAAAAAATGGGAAAAATTAATACAGTTTTGATCTACACACTTTGATCTATTACCCATTGCATTACTAGTTTTTCTTTTTTTCTTTTTTTTTTTTTATAATTTTTTATAATTATATACATAACAGTCCTTGACCATACCGAGTAATCAGATATAAAGAAAGAAAAACATTAAAAGATTACTCTAACCTATTTTACCATCTCACCCAACAATCCACTTTACTATTTCTTCCTTCTCTTCAATTTCTTTCTCTTAAAATTTCTTATCCCTAATAAAGTTCTATTTCATTTCTTCATTTCTGTATGTTGATGTCAATTTATGGTTGTGTGTGTGTTTATGCATGTGTGCATGGATGCATTTCAAACAAAAGTTTACTGTGATATTCATGAATCATAAGGTTTCATAATGGTTATGAAAGTATGAATCTTGATTTGATGATGATGATGATGAATTGTTGAATGTGGATGATGATGATGATGCATTATTTAGTATGTACAATAATCATGATAGTAATATTGATTGTGATATATATGTTGAAATGGATGATGAGGAAGATTATCATGTTTTTGAGGAGGATGATGATGATGATGATGATGATGATGATGATGATGATGATGATGATGATGATGATGATGATGATGATGATGATGATGATGCATTATTTAGTGTGTAACATAATAATATTGATTGTGATATATGAGGATTATCATGTATGGTGATAATAATAATAATAATGATCACATGCATTTTTGAATGTTGATGATGATGTTGATGATTCTTTTGAATGGAGTGTTCTTGTTTGACACGCAATGACTATATGTGCACCTGTGTTTGGATGTGTGAGAGGGTGTGAGTGTATTTGTCCTGTTCAACATGTAAAATCTTGAAAAATAAAAAATCCCGACGAGTAAATTTTTCCAGACCCCTGTTACCAATAGCACTGTAGCTCAAAGTCAGTGATTTCACTGACAGAATAAATACTATCAGGCTCAGGAGCCATTCTTCTGAAACTACTCAGTTTTGGGACATCTTGACAGAATGGCCACACCCTTTGAAAAGGGCTGAATCCTAGAATCAATTTTCAGCCGTAATTCTCGGTCTTGATTATGATGCAATATCTACCAGCTGACGTTATATCTAACAATCAGTACTGTTCACAGATTAACTGAAAGTCTGTATTTGAGAAAATAATAAAAATGACTTACCATTTGACATCGTCTCGATTATATCACCATCCATCTCGATCACTGAATTGGCAGAATTGGCAGAATCTGGTCTCGCAACACGTGTGTAGACCAAAAACGCATTTTATTCGCTTTGCTAGCGTGACGTCACTTCCGGCAATCAATTAGGTCACTGGTTCCAAACACTTTGAACCAAGATGGCGGCCATAACAATTCATTTCTTGAATATCAGGGTACGCCTCAGCTTTATTTGTCCATTCTACTTTTGTCATAGTGTAAGGATCCTTGCCACCGATAAAACGCAATTTTTCGTCGTATCTCGCCTTACAAATATCGTCCAACGTGTCCCTGTACACAACCTTCACCTTGTTGCCAAGTTTAGAGGAAGTTGACGTCATTATAACAACACAAAAGATTTAAATTTGTCTGGGTCAATGGAGTCGAGATGGACTTTAAACCTTGCCATATATGGCAAGCCGTTTTAACATTTAATCCTATTTCCTCTTAAGGGGATAGTTTTTTCACTTAAGTGAAATTCATATTCACTTAAGTGAAAAACAATTGCACTTAAGGGGAAATGAAACATAATGCAAATTATTAATACAACTTAAGGGGGAGAAAATCACTTAAGGGATTCTTTTTTTCACTTAAGTGAAATAAATCATAATGCATAATAATGTTTATTTCCTTTAAGTTTAAAAGAATTTCACTTAAGTGAAAAAGTGGTATGTGCTGACATAATGCTAAATTACATTCACTTAAGGGATATTTTTTCCACTTAAGGTAAATAAAACAGTCAGTATGCTATCCACCCCCATTTCAAAATGGGAAGAGCCACTTCCTTGTACCTCGTTTTCATACCGGAAATGAAAGCTATTTTAAATGATGGCGGGAGACATAAGCAGAGTGCTAGAGGCAATCCAGAGAAACATACGGAATGTTGGAAGACGTTATCTTCATTTTAGTAGTTACTACCATGTAGAAGTTAACTGCAGGTCTACAGGGATAAAATTTTTTAGTTCAATACAGAATTACTTCCTGGTCAGAATAAATATAACAAAAAAATAGTGGTAAGTATCTTCAATTTTTATTTCCATTATGTATCATTTCACTTAAGTGAAAAAGGTTTTTATTTCCATTATGTGTTATTTCACTTAAGTGAAAAAGATTTTTATTTCCATTATGTGTTTCCTTAACTTATATAAAAGAAATCTATTTCCATAGTTTCTTCCCCTTACCAATCTTTTTTATTTCCACAATGTGGTTTTTCCAGTTAGTGAAAAAAAACTAAATTCATACATGTTTTTCCACTAATTTGAAATTAATGTTGGGGATCATCATAGTGAAATACTTGTGCAAAATCTTGCTTTGATATCAAAATATTGAGGAATATTTGAAGGTATATCTGACTTAATATGAACAGCCAATTTGTTATTAGCCAATCTCCATGAATCAACTATCAAAAGACATTGGGCAATCAAAATTTATGCCATAGCTTATATAAATATTGATTAAAAACTTGCAAAACTAAATGAGTAATTTTTATCAATAAGAAATAGAAGAATTCTTATACCAATTGGCAAAAGATAGTCTTCATGAAAATTACATTAATTAATATCTCGGTTAAATCATTTGTTTTAATCAATCCCTTATCCTTACAATTTCAACATACGAAAAACATGAACAAATTATTTTTGATTGTGTATGGAATGGCTAACCAGATGAAGTTAAAAGAGACCAATTTCAGAACAGCTAATTATGTATTACAACATACATACACCAATAAATCTATTAAACACATACATGTACATGGTTGTTTCTGTTTCTTCATTGATTTTGCCATAAATTTTGTTAACTATCGTTTGGATTATTTATATTCCTTAATGAAAAAGGTCTTAAAATGAAAAAGTAATTATAGTAATGATTTGATTAAAAAAAAAAATCTGAATTTCAAAAATAAATTAAACGATCTGGGCTTGCACAGTCCTTTTGTATTTTATGTTTGCTATGTCCATGTTTCTTTCTTGTTTTCATCTTATAGTGTGAATATGTTTTTTTTTGTTTCTGTTTGTTTCTTTGTGGTTTGTTTGTTTTTGGTACATAAAGTAACCCAATGTATGTAGATGAGTAGATGCATGACTTGCAATTTTTCTGTGACTCCATCTCTTTGTCAGTTATCATGATTTGTATCATTTTTTTCTACATGTATTTGTATCTTGTGAAAATTGAATATAATCCTTGTCGTAAATGTTGTAAATAGTTTTTAGAATCATTTCATGACATGTATTCAAAAGATTTAAAATTGAAATACTGAGTTGAAAGTTCATTGATTAACCCAGCTTGCAAGTAGTTGTCAGGGAGTAGTTATTATAAATAACACTATCTGAAACGTTATCTTTAGTCAATAACCCATAATTTTCTTATCTGATTTTCAACATGCAAACTTAAACTTTAGTATGTAATTAAGTTGATAATATACAGGAAGTCTGGTTCAATCCATAAAACCCCTCTTGTGCTTGTATAATATGTGTCCAAAAAGATTCAAAATTCAATTTATAATAACTTTTTTTGCAGTTGTTGTACACAATTATTAAAGTTATTAATAAAGACATGCATTATTAAAAGCCATTATACACACTGTGTATAACAGATATCTTTCATAACTAATCCTCCTAATCTTTTATATCTTGTCGTTCACCATGCAAACCTACATCTATATATGTGTAATTGTAAGGAAAGACAGGATACTTAGTATGAATCAATATGCCTAATGTAATTTCTTACATCAGCTGATTGAAATAGCAGCAGTTTGGTTGGAATACACTCAAGTACAAAAATATACGAAATATGGTGGGAAAACTGGAGATATAATGTATATCATGGTATATGCTGATGAAAAATGTCAATGTTGAACATGTAGATATTTAGCTGATACTTACTTTGACACAGATTATATTTGCAATTCTTTTTTTTTTAATTACTAATTCTGATGAAAAAGAACAATATTTTTAGGAGAGCTATATGTTCTAATTATACAAATAACTTTTCAACTTAGATTACTCCATTAATATATCCTTGATGGTTTATGCTTTAAATCAGCCTCAATATTATTTTATATATAATATACTAATATTTTTGTAAGGCATAATGAGTGTTTAATTGCAATAAAATACATTTATGATGAATGATGATGGTAACATTAAAAGTAACAGGGCAATGCAACTTTGCATGGATGGGGAAATTGATTTGCACATTTTGTAAATATATCAAGTTACAGCTTATTTGATACAATCATTGAAACGTTCTTTACATTTGCTTCGCCCTCTATGTACCTGTCCGTGCTGGGAGTATGATGTTATGTATTTGAAAACATGATCTGGAGAATCTGGAATAAGTTCAGTTTCTTCAATGTTTGTTAAAGAGGGTGTTTTCTATAAATAAGACATTTGTACATACACATTTGTGCATAGGGGCCGATTTAACCCTACGTCACTAATTATGATTAAAATGTTCATGACAGCTATGCGTACTTACAGTTTCGGTATTTATTATCCCATAGAAACACCCAAACAATCACCACACATAATTTTATAAGTATTATCCACGAAAAGTTCTCCGGCTGTACTTCACCACTCCGCTGACCTATTAATTCAAGTATGGCGCTACGGTTGATACAAAATGCGGAATGTGAATTGATGTGAAACGTGATTTCGTGAACTCCAATCATTGACGGAAAATTATGACACAACTGTATTTTGCATTTCAAACCTTTCTCACTGTAACTATATATTGATATATATTTTTGAAAGGTGTTTGTACAATGTTAGGAAAATATGATAAATTGTTTGAAAAGATGTACATTTTTTGTTATGAAAATTAATAAAACATAAAAGATGTTAAATTATCTGTATTGAAATAGTTAAGATGTTCACATATACATTGCACCAATTATGAATTAAACTAGATTTATAATGTACATAAATACCGTCACTTTTTCTTTAAATTCCTGCAGAATCCATCAACCATTTTATCAAACCATACATGTTTAATATCAGATTTTCCGTGCAGCCCGTCATATAAATTTTCAAAGGAAAATTTGAAAACTTCTTTCACGTAGCGCGTACGACCACATCTTTTCTTATGTTTCCTCATAATTGTCTCTGCCCATTCAACTGTTGTGGACGAACCACCGCCACTTTCCCTGTCCATGTTTAGACCTCTAAGCAGAGAATTTAGCCTCTGTACATCTTCCACGTGTTTCTTTTGCATTGAAATTGTGGTTTCCTCGTCGTGCTCTGGATGTTTGCAGTGGATTCTATTATAATCCCTTAAACATGCCAGGGGAATCGTTATGAAGCCCACTACAGCTGTATCACAGTTTTCAATTATTTCAAATTTAAGATTTTTCATTTCATCAAAAATCTCCAAAACGTCTTTTTCTGAAGGTAAAATAAACTTTCCTGAGGTATTTCTGTTCATCTGCAGTAAGTCATTGATACCCACACAAATAAGAATGATGAATTTCACTGTCTCAAAGCTCTCGAGGAAATTCAATATACTGCTCTTCGCGTCCTCTATTTTAGCACCTCTTTCTACTAAATAATTAATTGTAAAATTGTCTGGCTGGTCATAATTACAAAAATTATGAGCTCGCGAGTCCGCTACTAAAACCAACTGGGTCGCCATTGCTGCTCACTTTGTCACTACCTACACTGAACTTGCACAGATGAAGGTTTTTCCCGCCAAAACGTACGCGCATTTATATCGCTTGTGTGGATGGTTTAACGAGCACGCTGTTTTAACAAAGTCTTCCTGTAATTATGCAATATCGAAACATTTGATATCTTTATATTTCATGGTGATTTTATTCTCTCAAAATGGATGTAACTGAACTAAAACTAAAGTTTGAAGCAATAAAAGGAAAATATGGTATTGATTTTGATCCTAAACCGGAACAATTGCAAGTTGCTAAGTATATTATTGAAAAACAAAATGTAATAGGATTGCTTCCTACTGGATATGGAAAGACATTTTGTGCCGCTCTGTCGTCAATGCTGGTCAACATAGAAAATCCTATTTCATTAGTTATCTCACCTTTAAGGGCACTTATGGATGACCAAATACAGACTCTTAACAACTGGAACTTTACGGCCGTTAAAATAGAGCCGGATATGGATTCCGGAATTGTTAAGGATGTAAAAGAAGGCAAATTCAATTTTGTATTTTCCTCCCCGGAAATGGCTCTCAAACCGTATTGGAAAGATATTTTCATGTCAAAAGTGTGGAGAGAAAACACTATTGCCCTCGTCGTAGACGAAGTACATTGTGTGTCTGAATGGGGCGAGGACTTCAGGAAAGAGTTCAGGCATTTACACGAACTTCGATCGGCAATACGGGCCCCTGTCTTAGCACTAACTGCTACTTCTACAGAGGCTGTTAAACAAGACATCAAAAAATACCTCCAGATTGATGATGCGGTAGTTATCGAAAAATCACCAGACCGGCCTAATATATTCCTCGATTTTCAAAAAGCCGACTCTACAGATTTAGAAGAAAAAAAAGACTGGCTGTTGACTCATCTACGCGAGAGAGGTTCAGCTGCGAAAAAAATAATTGTATATTGCCGCAGCATAGATAGAGTTGCCGATGTATTTATTATATTACGGCGCAGTTTGGGAATAGATGCTTACGTGGATAATATTAAAGATTCCAATCATGCTCTGATTGAAATGTTTCACAGGAGTATACATGAAGAGTCTAAAACTAGAATTATCAGGAAATTTAAGGACCCTAACTCAAATCTGCGTTGTTTAATTGCCACTGTAGCTCTGGGTATGGGCATACAAATTAACGATATAGATATAGTGATGCATCTTGGGAGTCCCAAATCCATTCTGAGCTATTGGCAGGAGGCTGGCAGATGTGCAAGAGACGGTCGACCTGGCTATTCTTTCGTTTTATACGACAATTTTACCTTGTCTTCAAAGGGTACAAGCAAGGACGTTAAGTCTATTGTTGATGGTGACATCTGCTACAGGAAGACAATTTTGAAGTACCTAGGCAATAAAGAGGATCGTAACGTTGAGGAGGTTTGTGACGGAGAATGTGACACAGAAAGATGCCTTTGTTCTAAATGCATGTGCTGTTCACACTGTCAACAGCAATGCCCGTGTAAGGGAAAGGAATTTGATGTAGTGAAATTCGCCAACTTTACCGACGGACCAACGAACCCGTTTTATTAACTTCAAATAGAATGGATTTGTGATTTTGTTTTATTACATTGATATGTTATCGCTGGACTTTGTTGGCGGTGTAATACCGCTACCGCTAAACCATTCGTAGTTATTTCATCAAATTGACTAGATGTTTTGTTGTTGTTTTTTTCAATAGAAGGATTTCTTTGTGTTTGGTGGCATTGTTTCATTACATTGAGATTGATATCTAGTTGTTGGACTTTGTGTTTGGTGGTGTAATACTGCTACCGCTAAACCATTTGTAGTTATTAAATTAACTTGTTGTTTCTTAAGAAAGGGCTTTATGTGTTTAGTGGTACTGTTTCGTTGCACTGCATATTGTAGTTGGACTCAGTGTTTGGTGGTGTGCTACCGCTAAACTTCTTATATTTCATTCATTGATATTTTGTAGTTGGACTCAAGTGTTTGGTGGTGTGCTACCGCTAAACCTCTTATATTTCATTCATTGATATTTTGTAGTTGGACTCAAGTGTTTGGTGGTGTGCTACCGCTAAATCTCTTATACTTCATACATTGATATTTTGTAGTTGGACTCAGTCTTTGGTGGTGTGCTACCGCTAAACCTACTATAGTTATCGTTGTTAATTACTTCGTCGCCAAAGTGTGGAAAGGTTATCATGGATAAACATTGTGCGAATTGTGGAGATGACTTCAAGGAGAAATCGAAAGGGAAAGGATATTATAGGTTTTCACTCGAATCGGCTTTGCCGAACTCGCAAGTTAGTGGAAGAGAAATGTTGTCGTCAATGGTAGAGACATGCTTCACACTTGTGTCACAAAAACGTTCAGGAAAATTTCTTTGTACAACCTGCTGGAGTAACCTTTCGGACAGTAGGAAATATCAGAAATCGGTAGAGGACTTCTGGAGTCGTTCAAGAAAGGGTTCATATGTACACGCAAAAAATGAAGAAAGTACTAGAACTATGCCTTCAAGTTCATCAGAACAAATGTTTCTTGGTTCAAGTTCGAATACACAACAAAACACCAGTACACCTCTGAGGCGAACAAAGGCAGGCGTATTCACAAAGAGGACAGTTAATTCTTCCCGCTGGGATCCAATTATACATAACGTCCGTACAAAGAGATACTCTGCTGCAATTAGAGGTTTGTACAATGCAACTACCGGCTCAAGAAGACACTTTAAAAGCATTGTAACGGAAATTGTTCGCAGAGAAATACAAGTGCTTCTAAAGTCGAACTTCCCTTTGTTCAAGGACTTGAACTTAGAGAACATAAGTTCTTTTTCATGGAGTGAAACTCTTGCCACAATTGCTCCATTGACGTCAGCTGTTTTAACCGGAGTAGCAACTACACCTAAAGGCTCTGAAACACTAATGCAGGGTTAACAGACCAATCTCAAGCCAATGGTTGGATGTGCTTTAGCAACACTTGCACGCTAAAGCACCAAGGAAAGCAAGCTTTATGCCAACTCTATTTTCTATAGTTATGGAGAGGAGGGCTGAAGAAAGACACTCTAAAGCAAGTCAGTAGAACGGGGTTGTGTCTTGGTTACAAAGGTACTGTTAATGCCATTGACACCATCAGGCGGTCTTTTGATAAAATGGCCAAGGAAACGAGAGAACAGCTCCATGAAGACTTGTCTTCTGGTGTTACGGATCAGCCAAACACAGATGAAGACGAGCTTGCTTTGTCTATCGCTCTTTCCCATACTGTTGAAGATGAGGAAATTCAAGATATAGAGGACGATGAAGAATGGGAATGGGACGATTCCGAAGAAGAGCCAACAGAGCAAGAGGAAGCGGAGTGCGAGATTAATGAGGAGGACGACGTAGATTTAGAGGAAGATTTTGAAGAGTCGTTTGATGACAGCCGACCAGCTGGGATGGAATTGGATGTGAGTGGCATTTCACCTGTGCATGATATTCGGAAATAGATGTAGAAAATGTGACAAGAGAACTTCATCCCGGATTCCTTACTTGTTGGGACAATGTTGGAAAGAGAGTCGTAACCAGGAATCCTTCCGTAGACAAAACCAATACTTACATCAACATGGCTCTAGGTTATATGGCAGTAAACATAGTACCTGTTACTCATTTACAGGCATTTAATGGAGGTACTCCAGCGTGCGAACTTCCAATAGATACCTTTGTACCGAATGAGGAGGACATTGACAAGAGGCATTTCCGCATGACTACCATTATAGGGAGAATATCAACTCGACACATTCCGTGGTTTAGAGATAACTTTCAGAATTGCGTAATTCTGCATATCATTCATGTACATTCAAATGAAACGAGAAAGAAGTCTGTCCTTGTGAACTTGGGGGTTTTTGATGAGAACCCATCATCAACAAATGGCGCGATAGGGATATACCAAAAAATACAAGAATATGTACCTTCCGTAGATGGCAAGCCATACCCAACTATAGTGTATGGAGATGGCTTGAGTTGTGAGAGGGGCAATTGTGCTCATAATGCTTGTTCTGGAGAACTCGATCCATGGCGGCGATTGAGGACTTCAACCTTCCCCGCAAGAATTTCACAAGGAAATGCTTTTACTGCAAGACCATTTTCAAGACTTTGGCAAAGAAAGTGCTGCAGAGTTTGGAACATTGTTCTTTCTGAAGAACACTTTCAACTTCCGCTCTGTAAATCAGAAAGATATCGGCAATTGCTTTTCCGACGCGTGGGAACTCATGTGTCTAGCTACGAAAGGATATGTGTGTTTAGCATCGATAGAAAGACTTGGAATGGACTCGATCTATGATAAACCTAGAGATGCACCAGATGGCATAGAAGGAAGAATATCTCGGAAAGATTGAGGATGACCTTCTGCAATATTTTCAAGGAGATTCTGTGGTACATGAGTCATCATATCAGTACTGCACATGCGGCACCGACATGGGAGATGATGAGCCAATGGTAGGATGTGCAGCAAAGTCGCAATGTTGCGGTCGCGAGTGGTACCACCTCCGATGTCTTGGTCTCCAACTTGATGAACTACCGAAGGGTTCTTGGTACTGCAGCGATACATGTGCAAAGAGGAAACGAGGAAAGCGCACTAAATTAAAGAAGAATTCAATTGCTCCTGATAGAAAAGATCACAAAGAAGAATATTGCAAGGCAATTGTATGGCGAGGACTAAACCTATTAAGTAGGCGGGATGCTGTTAGAGAAGGCGACGGCGATGCTATCATCCGATGCTGGAAGTTTGACATACAACACTTTCTGGAAAAGAAACACCCGAAATATGTCATTTTGGCACATAGGCTATTATGCGCTACTCATGGATGGCTCTCTGAGAAACTGAAAGAAGAACTAATTTGGAACAGAACAGTCAATTACAGTGGTGGCGTTGGACGAAATCTTCCGATGGACCTGATGAACGAGTTGCTTAACAGACTCTTCAAGGACCAACTGGAGAATGCGAAAGGAAGGTACACGGAAGAAACTATCCAAAGGTGTGGTCAAATAATTGGACCCCTGGGAGAATGCCTTGATTCCATCTTTGATGAAAAAATAATAGAAAATGAGTTGTATCGCCATAGGAGACGAGCTAGAAAAAGAGACTCCAATGTCCATAAGCTCGTGAGCTGCTTGCTCGATGAGGAATTATTCAAGACTATTTCCGGACAACAGTTCAAAGCTTTTCCTGGTTTTGTTTACAAAGAGGACCTGAAAATGGTATTAAAATATCCACAAAAAATGACCAAACTCGCTAATGCATTGGATCAAAGGACTGACGTCATCCTAAATGAGTGATGCTCATTTCACCTATTACAGGTCTAATCATTATTGCAATTATTGCTTTTTATGTTTTTTATAATCACCACAAAACTATAAAGTGTCTTTTTTTATGTGTAGGCGTATTTTTTTAAAATCATTTGTCGAAGTTATTACCAAATAGCGTTCCGTCTGTTTTTACTATATGTATTCCATTTTTCTATTAACCGGCTAGTCACGTGATGTTTGGACTTTCGATTCTGAAAAGTGTAGTGACTACGCTGAAGGAGGCATGTAATCATTAACAACACATTTATAGCTTATAACTGTGGATTTAAACATGGGATTTTGAAATAAAGATATGTTAATGATATATCTGGATGTTTACTTGTAAGTAAGTGCGTTAAATATGACCAAAATCAGAGTTTTGAAAATGCGATGGTCCGCATCGGTTATTTTGCCTATGGGAAGTTAGAGGTTGCACGGCGCCAGTCAAAAGTATCTCGCCGTGTAAACCTCTAACATTGTTGGAGTACCTGACAGTCTGCCGACAGCATATCTAAGCAATCACCCATTGCTATGCAGACTTTTAAAACAAGAAAAATCAAAACTATATTCACCACCCCATGGAAAGAAAGAAAAGCTTGAAAGTGCAGACAAAGTGTAGAGATATTTAAAAGGAACATTTGTAGTCAAAATCAATCACAACTGCTAACTTCCACACAGCATTCCAATCCATTCGACATCCTAGTGCTATCGGAAATAGATTCGAAAACAGGAAGTAGTATAGTAAAAAGCGCCCGTAAAAAAGGTGCCAAATGCCGGTTACAAAAATCCGGAGCAGTAAGGAAACATTCCTTCATGAATTATGTAAAGTAGAAAAGAGTAAAATAAATCAATTATAATGTCATTTCCGTAATACGGAATACAGCTTCTTTTTCTTTATTCTCTTTATTATAGACATACAAACTATAGAGTACTCACTAGTGCGTGAACTGTACACCGAATATACTCCTTTTAGCACTAAAATTCCTCGAGGAAACACACTCCCTTGTAACTATCCCACTGACATATTAACAGAAACACACTCCCTTGTAACTATCCCACTGACATATTAACAGAAACACACTCCCTTGTAACTATCCCACTGACATATTAACAGAAACACACTCCCTTGTAACTATCCCACTGACATATTAACAGAAACACACTCCCTTGTAACTATCCCACTGACATATTAACAGAAACACACTCCCTTGTAACTATCCCACTGACATATTAACAGAAACACACTCACTTGTAACT